GAGTCAGCTTACACATAAATTACCCCCCAAATCCAAACTGTAATATAACAAATAATGTTAAGAAAATATATATATACACTTTGCATATACAAAAATAAGCATACTACAGAATCTTCTAGATTTTGAAATATAACTAGTGAAATATACTAGTAACTGAAATATAGTACAATATTGAGTACTTAAAAATATTTAAGTATTAAAAAAGTATTAAAAGCTTAAAAAAAGTATTTCTTGACTGTTTCTCACACATTCCTATTTAAGTAATTATTACATACGGGGAGCTAATTTCTCACATAAAGCATTACTTATATTTTTTTTGAAAACATGTTTCATCCTGAAAACTACCGTTTCATGGGGCGAGTGTTCATCTTCTGCTTGTTGTACAGGAGTCTGTTTGTAGTACAGGTCACTGCTATTGAAGGATCAAGACACAAAGGCTCTGCTGTAGCCAAGATAAGTTGGCTCTCAAGTAGGAGTTTGTCCTCCTGTAATATACACAGCTATTAAATATAAAAATATGAAAACTTTTACACTATTTAAGTTCCTATATACCTATGCATGTGGGCATTATCTTAGAAAAAAATGTAAAAAAAATTATTAAATAAAAAAATTTAATAAATTTTCATTTTGTTGTCTATTTATGACATCACTGTAAAGTTTTTAAATAACCGCTAACCCACCTGTGTCCATTTGTGGTTGTCACTTGTTATAGAATGCACATCACAAATTAAAGTCTGAGGAAAAAGACATAATGGTAATTAGCTTTCAACTAGTAATAAGATTGCTTAATATATGTTCAGTAACAATGCATATCCAGTCTAGGAATTACAGTAACACTGCAAAATTATTTAAGCCTCTTCTTTACCTGCATTGTAGGTCGCAAAAGAATGTGCTTGCTTTGGTACGTTGGGGATTTCATGTTACCAGACTGCCTATAGTCACGTATTTCTGCTATGACACATCCACAATGGAAAATATTAACCTGGTTCAAAGAAAAACACCAACTTCTGAATAAACAAGTATTTACCTATTGTTCCCTGTGTCTAAAAAGAAGTTTGTTACATAACATACAAAATTCAGTGAAACTATGAATAAAACTAATGACTAAGTGTTTCAGACAAGTGGTCTTCACTAAGGTACGTAGACATATCTAAAATATAAGCTTCAAACACAGTGTTTTTATATGCCAGCAATGCAGTTGTAAGAAACTCCCATGCCAAACATTCTATAATGACAAAGAACAAAAGAAATTTTGCTAGAGCAGAGTTGAAGACATTTCACAGCCTTAATCAGTGATCACTTAAACAGCGATCTCTCATCTCTTTTCAGTATTTAATACTATTTTCTTCCCCATATATTAATAAAATATTTATTTGGGGCATTAAATACTACAGTTTCATATGCACAAGTATGTTATGTCTTGTGCTTCGAATCACCTATGTGAAGCACTTATAAAAATCAAGGTCTATCTGGGTACAAAACCTAAGTTCTTTTAGAGAGCAAGACCTCCAAACCTGAGATTTTTCCAAAAGATCAACCAAAATAGGTGGTAGTTCCTCTGCATCCAAATATTCAAGCAGCTCCCCTTCCTCATAAGGCAGACGAATGGTCTCAGAATCTGAATTTAAACAAAACACATTTGCATTTCAAGTTCAAACATTAACATTGAGAAATCTAAAATAAACTAGCCACAAGAAAAAGCAGGGTTGGTAGAAACCTATCCACACAGACCACTTTTTGCATAGTATTAATTTTTACATCCATTTGTGTTCCCAGAGTTTTATTTTGTTCTTAGTGCTAGCTTTGCTCCCAGGTGACATAAGGTATGCTCTTATTGCACATGACAGTACAAATGGCATGAAGACCACCAAACTGGAACACAAATGCCTTTAGACAGACCTAGATATGGGAAGCAGTGAAAGAAACAATTTGACAGAAAGAACCCAAAGTGAGAGAAACTTGGATATGCAGTTCCAGAAAATAAGGGGAAATAAGAGAATGGAACGCTATCAGAAAGACTCCTTATCTAAAGACTTAAGCTCTACATAAACAGATCAGAGCTTTGTATAAATTTTTCGTTCAAGTACAGCTGGTTGTTCTCTGCCCCTCCATCCACCCCTTGAATTACATTGGAAATGAAACAGTTAAATGTAAGCAACAACACATTCTAACAATTTATAGCATTCAGGTATCTTTAACAATTCAAGAGAAAAATATTACCTGAACCATTTTTCCCCCTGAGCATCAGTGAATAACCCTCATTTCCTGGATAGAGGTTCACCACCAGACACGACAACGTCTCCTGCATAACCAGCTTCTCAAGTAAATTCACATTTCGCCTCAGCTTCTGCTTTATAAGTAAACATTGCTCATTAACATAATACTATGAAATAATTAGTAGAAATAAAAGCAATTGCTAGAATATGATTTAGATTAATGACAAACTATACACCTAAACACGCCCAGTTAAATTTAAGCATACTGTATGCAGCCGAGTAAATCTATTATATATTATCACACATTCTTACAGACACAGATCTGTGTAAAAAAAATCCAACTCATTTAAATTACAAACCCTAGAACTGAAAGTCCACAGACAACAGAGTTAATAAGAATAACCCTATGCTACAGCACACCACTATTTGTATAATTTCTAGGAGCATCATCAATCTAGTATAACTTGTTTCATAACAACAATAAAATATTTAGTACTTTCAGATATTTCTAACAAAAGAAGATATTTCTCTCCAGGACTAAAATAATGAATTGGAGCATTTGGAAGCTTTCTTAATTGCATTTTCTTGTCTGTATTTGCTGAAATCTGATCCAGCAGCTGCAGACACTACTATTTAACATAAGAACTATCTTTTTGATGCATAACAGATTTTTATAATTATTTGGTGTGTTTCGAAGACCCTATATACATCCTACAAATTAAAAAACTTGAAATCCCCTTAGAATTTAAGACAATGAATTCTAAACCTCAGATAATTTTACAACTTCTGATTTGAGGCCATATTTTATCTCTGACTACCAGCTCTGGGTACAACCATTAATTGGGAGTTAACCTAAGTGCTCATTTGTCTTCTCATTCATTTTTATTTCCTTGAAAGCAACAATATAGCAGATTCCACAAATTGTTCTTCTTGTTCCAATTGACATTCAGAGTTTATCAAAGTTATTAGTGCCTTTTACACCTTATATTTAGCACTGATAAGCCTGTTTGAGCCTCTTTGCTAATGTTACGAAACAAATTTCACGGAAGTTCTTATTTACCAGCAATTGGAGAAATAAATCTGAATTTGCAACAAAATTACAGGGTATAAAAAATTACTCATTTTTCCCATGGCAGTCATGCTAAGCAACTAACTGTGAAATAGTGATAGTGAGAACAATACACGTGGCATTGACACTGGCCCTGAATTTGAACACAAGTGCCTTCAGTGACACAGGATTAAGACAGAATGAACAGGTCACTCAAACCAGTCTAAGCCTTACTATTCATATTATGCAGTCTTGTCTTTAGGTAACTACTACAGTATAAAGAGTTTATACTTTAAACAAAAAAATTAAGTAAAACTTAAAAATAAAAAGTATTCTCAACTTGCCTGTTTAGACAGAAATGAAAAACTTCTCAGCAATTTCCACCTACCTTTATCTCAGGCTCTTTTTCACATTCTTCTATATATAAATCATAGAGTTTTTGAAATACAGATTTTCTGAAATTAAAAAAGCTCAACATGTAACCAAAATTAAATGAAGGAAATACTATTTAAAAACTCAGTATTGAAACTCTTAGTACCTTCCACTGGATAAATATTTTCTTTTGGGAGGTCTCTGACGGGCACTTTCAATGATATACTAAAAGAGAAAAGTAAACCAAAAAATCAGCATATATTACAAAATAATGTAATTCTAGTTACTACACAACTTTAGATCATTACCAGACTGTTCCATGTATACAGAAAGTAATCAGCAGTTATGGTAAGCGACTGTTCCAAAAGTGAACCAAACACAATCTGGTCTGTTACAGTCATCAAAAAGAGCACAGCTCAATTTAGCTGCCAAACACAGCATTTCATGGCTGTGGCATCAGTTACATGAAGGTCTTGATTCTACACTCATGTCTTGTAACTACAGTAGTAACTCATACTACTACACTACTGTACTTAGTAAATACTACTAAAATTAACGTGGTTAACACACTAAGGTACAACCAAATTTATGCACACTGGCTTGACAACATTCACAAATCAAGTACTCTTCAACAAGATAATTTCAGGAAGTTGAGTTCWCATTTTGTTTTTTGCATTTACATYAGTTTTCTCTATAGACCTGTGCACTATAAATGCAATTTATGCACATTAAACATTTGAATTTTAAAAGAGCAAGAAAGATATCCTCCATTAAATGTGATTTATATTCTAACAAGATTATTCCTTGTCTCTATTGTTTGAAGTATTTTGATTAACAGCTTAGTTCAGAATTTCCATGAAGAGAGGAACACGTTCCCACAGGAACGTGTATTTCCCATAACACGTTTCAAGGTAACTGTTACATCTGATGCCAGCATTAAAGAACATGAATGTGAAGACACTTGCCTTTTCATTCTTACAGGGCTATCCTTAAAAACACAAACAGGATTTTAACGTATATTTCTGCCAGATGTCTCTGTGGAGCCCTGCTTATTCCACAGCACACAGATTTGCTGGTTTAAAAGGGGAAAGCTCAAGTCTTGTATAGTCTATCACCAACCCACCTAAAGATGTTCTCAGTACAGTGGGTAAGAGACAAATACATGACAGCAATTTCAAATTTTCAAGAATTTTGCAAACTCAGTGTTACATATATAAGTAATTACATACATATATATTTATGTAATATGGTTTTCCACTGCTTTTCAGAAGAAATAAAAAATAGCTGTTGTCTTTTAATAACTGTGAGACCAAAATATTACCTGCAAACAAATAATTTAGCTGCTTACCTCGGCACGATCCAATGCCAGTTCTAAAGCTTGTTGCTGCAAGAATCACAAAGGGTTTTTTAGAAACTACATGACTTGTTTAAACATCCTCATACATTAAAAACACCCCAAAACCTCTACTACTACTGATATGAATTTATAATTAGAAGATGGGCTCAAAAATCCTTTGGCATATACTAAACTTAGCAGTTAAAACCTCATGTAACTGCTTCACAAGGTTTGTCTAAATTGTAAAGCCTTAGAACAATGAAAGGCAATTATAATAAAAGCAGGAATGGAAATTATACCCAATAAAAGCAGTAACAAATACTAACCAAAACAACCAGCAATGACAACCAGAAAACCTGATCTCCTTTGCTAAGCTGATCACTAACTCAACAGAAAAGATAGGCCAACATTTCCCATAACAGATGTCCAGGCAGAAAACACCGAACTTGTAGATACTGGTGCCCAAGTAGGGTATAGCCATTTTTCACAAAATGTAAATGAAGATCTTATGCTCAGAACATTACTTCCGCACATAATATAATTGCAGAAGTGTTCCTTATGTCATACTGTTAGGTGGGTAGGAAAAAGAAAAGCTTCCACTCCAGAGTTCCTCCAAGGCAGGTTAAAAAGTCTGCCTAACAATACGAAACACAGCATAATCTGCAAAAGCTTCTCAAAAGCCCACAGTATAGTATACTCATTACCATTTATTTTAATGGATTTAGCTCCTCTGGAATGTTTTTTACTTCAGTACATTTGCAGCTGATATATTTCAAAAAGAGCAAAGAGCTACATAGATTAGATTAGAGTTCTTGGACTAAAATTTGACAAATATTTCAAAGCAGAATAAACAAGCATTAGTGTCAAAAAAACCCCAAGAAAGTCTTCCTTGGCTCCTAGTATTCCTTTTCTGACACTCACTTAAGCTCTGACACCTCTTTTGCGTGGGAATAAAGTGCAGATGAATGATGAAAGTGCTAATGAACAATGAAACTAATTTGGGGCAGGGAGGAAAGAGAAGACAATATTAAAAACCAAAGGGTTGTACGAGAATGACATGGGCTTGCTTCATCTCCAGGTCAGTCCAGAGAAGCAATGCATTCATTTTAGTGGCAGGTGGATAAAGTCCTTAGGAATGTACGTATGACAAGTGTTAATATTCAGTAGGACTTAGAAACATTTGGAATAGGTACCTCTTCCCACATATGTGTTTGTCCTATTTCCTCAGTTTAAACCACCCCTATCAGCTGCTCCTAAAAGCAAGAGTTTACTTGAGCCTCAAGGAACAGAAGACACATGAGCCATGCCCAATCCAAGGTAGCCACAGTTATTACACAGATAATGGATGTTTTATTAGAATAGAACTCAGTGAAGAAAAACATATTACACAACAACAAAGGAACAACAAAGAAATATACAACAAAAACACTCATGTAATGTATCTAAAACAAAATTTCTTACCTGTACATGAAAAAAAAGACCTACTTACTGTGCTATTGCATGGTAGAACCTGCCACAATAGAACATTTAAATTTTCAAGTGTCTAGGTATTTTTATGAAAATGTCAAATACTTATGCTTTCTACATAAATGGATGTACCTAGTAGATGTATCTATAGCACCTGTATCTAGTGGATAACAGCATGATTTCAGATATTCAATTCACTGACTGCTTAACTTTAGGTAAAAATCCATGGCAGTATTAGCACCTGTGAATACAAGAATACTATGTAGAAGCAGGATTTATATGCACCCGACTTCCTGCCACCACTCCTGACTAAAACACGCCACTAGCTTGATATGGCAATTCCTATGATGCACTGGCCAGTGAGTAAGTGTTCAGAAGCATTCACAAGCTATGAAGGAAGACACCCCTACAAAAGGAAATAACAGAATTCAGCAGTGACAAGCAATTAATTTTTTAAGAAAACGTCAAATATTAGTGGCATCCTCCTCACCAGACAGCTAGCAGTCTAGGGCAAAAAGATCTGAAAATATATTATATGAATCCTAACTTACCATTGTAGTTGAAGCCATGTGGCCAAACGGCAAAAGAAGTACTTAAGGAATTTCATGCAGCAGGCAAAGAATCATATTTGATGGTCAAACCTGGGGTACTGAAAACAAAAAGTTCAAGGAGAGAAAAAAAACCACAAAGAAACTAAATGAGTATTTTAATTAAGTGCAACAATTTTGGTGGTTAATTGTACTTAAATCTCATTTCCATAGATCCTTTTCCTCCAAAAGTAGGAACAAGAGCTCCATTCGCTGCTAGTGCAGAAGTTCTCACTCCAATGACTACTACTACTTGTCACAATTATTTTGTTAGTTTTGTTAAATAGTAGCAAAAAGCATGTAAGTGTACATATCGTCTTCTCTGTTGCAGCAGCCTACCCCAAATGTCACATCCTCAGACGCACAGAGGCTACAACACTTAAAGACAAGCAGAGTGTTTAGCATGCCCCATGAGTTCTTTTGTTTTGCTTTTGAGGTGTTATTCCATAGCCAACACCTCCAGTAGCGGTGTCTTCTAGCATTGTTTGATTTAATACTGACTCACAGCAAGCTGTCAATCAACAAATGAAAAAAATTAACTGCCTCCGCCTTCGCGGACCCGCCAGGGCGGAGAGCGAGCGGCGCAGCCACCGACGGCAGAGCCGGCCGGGAAGGGAAGGGCCGGGCCGCCCCAAGCCAACGGTGCAGGCGGCTCCCGCCTCCCCTCCGGCCCAGCCCCGGCCGCGGCCCCGTCTCACCTCTCCCTCCCCGGCCGTGGGACCCCCACGCCCGCCGGTACCTGGCGGCCTGTCCCGCGGAGCCCCGGCCTAGCGGCCCCGCCGCCCGCCCGCGCATCCGCCCCCGCCGCGGCGCCACGGCCGCTTCCGCCCCGCCGCTTCCGAGCCGAGACGGAAGGGGCGGGCGGGTCGCCATGGAGACCGCGCGGGCCGGGAGCGGCCGCGCCCAGGGACGGCAGGGCGGGGCCTGAGGGATGCTGACAGCAGGTGCGGAGTCCGGAGGGTTTGGTGGTAGTAAAGAGCCTACACAGCGCTTCAAGCCAAAGRTTTAATGCTGTTGTGAAGGTCAGGCTAAGCTTCCGTGTGTTTCAGGGGTGCTCTAACCATATTTGAAGGGTTTTGGTATGTCCAGCTCCTGGCCCTRTRYARCACCRTTCCCAAGAGATGCTCTGTGCCTCAGAGCCTTGTCCAAYCTCTTGAGCTCTATCAGGCTTCTGTGACCACTTCCCTGGGGAGCCTATGAGCCTATGGAGACTGTGGGCATCATTCTCTTAAGTTTTTCCAAGCTGTACCAGGCACATCTGCATTATACATTGCACAGACTGTCTCTGGACACAGCACTTACRTGATTGGTGGCATGCTTTTCCCAGACCTTTCTAGCACTTCTGGCTGAGTCATAATTTATTTGATCACAGCAATGAGCAAACGTGTTACMCTGTGATCCAGCAGCCAGTCCTAAAGGAAAAAGCACACCTAACACCATCCTGCAATGCCTTTGTTAACCTTGTGGTGCTGACATGTCCTAACAARGGGTGGCTTGAAAACTCAATAAAATTTAGGCACTGGGAGCTCCAGGTAGCACTGGATAGAGTGAAGTGCTTCCTGTAGGACTACTCAGGTACTCTGTCTTGTTGCTGCCTCTTCTTTGGTTTCAGCACCGGATTCTTAGTAGTCCTTCTGTGTCCCACAGCATATCCAAAATGTTGGGAATCATGATTATTGGTTGTGCCTAGAGTCTCTGAGAGGCTCTCAGTGCATGAGGTCCCTCTCATCTAATGAGATCAGTGCTCTTCAGCTGTGAGCATAAATATGTTGGACACCTAATTTCAGCAAAGGGAAGGCTAATCTATTGATTTTTTTAGGAGCCCATGTTGTGCCTGAACACCAGAGAAAAGATGACCAGAATCCCCTCCTGGTCCAGGAGCAGGTGGCAGTGCTTCCTTGATTCACCCAGGCACTAAGTAGGTGCACAGTACAACATTTCAGCAGCTACATTTGATCCAGCTTTGAAGTTCCTTTGAGGATGCAATGCACCGTTATTTGACCTATGTTTTTTCTAAATTTCTGTGCTGTGTGCCTTGAAGTACCACAGTTCTGTAGTCATACTTATACATTTGTCTCAGTACAAAATTGCAAAGCTATTTTTCATTTTCCTGTGCMGTTTCAAAATTAAATGTCTTGCATGCCTATGAATCTGAGTCAGAGTCATATACTGAGGCTGAGACAGTGATTCAAGTATGGTCCCTCTCATTTGAGTACAAACATTAAAAAGAAATGACAGCAAGCTATGAGTAGAAAATGCTTCATGCGAGTGAGACAGATTGTGGGCATGTGGATGAAACTTAGGGCAAAGAGCCATGATGTCCTGAATGCTAACTCAGTTATGTCGTTGACWCTCTGTGTGGGCAGTTATAAATCCCTGTGGTAACATTTCCTACCTTGGTTATCTACAGCTATATTTAGGACTTAAATTATTTGCAGACATGCAGAAGCCCCACAGCTTCCATTTATTTTTAAGGTCAAATACACTTTGTCAGGTATAACTATTGCTTCTTTTCTAGGCAGATATTTCTAATTTGTTTGTTCAAATAGAATTTTAGAGGACTGGCAAATGTAGTACAGAACCTGAGGTAGATCTGTGTTCTTCRGCTGGAGAAGTTAGCCCTGTCTTAGCCCTTATCCTGCTGCTGGTCAACTCCCTTGGGACTTCTTGGCTGTGTTAAAGAGTTCCTCTGACTATGGGAGCATTAACACATAGAGACACTAGGAATTATCTGTCTCCATCTCAAACTGAGCCTTTCTGCAAGAGTTGTTTTGAGATGTTCARCAGAGACACCATAAAAACAGCCTTGATTTTCAGAATTTTCTGACTTTTATTTAGTGACTTAGGCATCTTTTTTGGGTGTCTGAAAATTGATTTATGATTGCAAATTATCTATGATTTCTATGAGACAATTGTAACACTTGAAGCTAATCTGTTCCAACCACGTATTATTTTGAATCTTTTCTTCTGATGGAAGTTGCGGTGAAGGTACCTAAAACTGGACTGTCCTACAGACATTGCAAGACTTTGGGAAACCTTAGGAGGATGATCAGGGAATTCACACTATAAATATTTGAGCACCTAGAGACAATCTCTATTCCATGACTTCTTCAACATCTCAGTTTTGCTCTACCCTCAACTTATTTGCATCTCTAACACTTTACTTCCCAATCCTACATMAAAGACTGTCTCACTCCTACCAGCAGGTAGGAGACATGAAGGAGGAGCAGGATGGGCAACCTGGCCCAGAATGTTTAATTCCCATTCCTTCTTCCATTGCTCCTCACTGGTTTGAAATTGAGAGTTCCTAATGGACATAGCAAAAACTGTTCAATCAGAGATTAAGTGGGTAAAGTTGATTGTATTTCYGTACACAGAAATGCGGATATCAGAGAATGAATTTAGGAGCTAACAAGGCTTTAGGATAGCAAATAAAGWAAGAAGATTTAATAGCAGATGGTAAATCTGAAATGTCATGAGCCATAGAGAGTAAGCCAGAGGCTGAGGTTACCAGGGCTGATTTTTGGATGCAGTCTTTCTGTTTTCTTGAGAAAGGTAGGGACAAGGAAATAARAACTGAGGAGATGGACAGTGGTCAGAGTAGATCAACTCTGTGATGGTCTGGAGGCAGGCAAGGCAGCATTAGCTTGGGCCTGAGGAGGTTATGAAATTCAGGTTGTACTTTATATGGGAGGGCACTCTGGCTGGTCCTTTTCTTGCCCTGGGCTTACATAGAAACCATTATGAGAATGCCAAAGCATGCTTTTAATAATGAATGTCTCATGATGCTGGGTCAATCTGTTGTTTGCATTTGGAATTGGGATAGGTGTCATATTCTTTCCAAGAGCCAGGGAACCTGTGGTTGGAGGAGTTTGGCACTGAATGCACTTTAAGGAGAACTTAGGGCAGTAYAGATACAGCCAAAATATTTGAGTCTATGATGCCAAACTTACCTAGCTTGCTAGTGTATAAAGGGAAGCTTGCAATGAAACCATTATATTTAGAGTATTTCAGGGAAGAGAATTTTGTCCAGTACCAGTTGATCCAACATGACCAATTATAGCAGTCAACTAAACAGCGAGGTTGCCATGGCAAATTATAGTGGAACTAATAAAACACAGCCCTCTAAGACAATGATGACTGATGAATGCAAGAATCTCAATGTAACAAAGTTTAGGGCAGCCTCAAGATCCCTAAAAATTTTTGTCAAATTATTTTTATTTKGMAAAATATAATATATGTGCTTTGATTATGAACAAAATTAATGTAGATATTTAATTAATTAAGCTGGAATAAGGATGAAAATAGGTTGTTATTTTCTCCTTAACAGATTAAAAAGTATTAAAAAAGTTTAAAAAGTTAAGTTACAGGGTTAAAAAGTTCTTTTATTGAGTTGCTTCTGTAATKAATAAGCAAAGAAATGAACTTTTTCTACATAATTGATTTTTGGATGGGCTGATCTGAGTGAATATTTGACTTCATAAGTAACAGRTTTGTTGGCCTTCTCTTACAGTATTCAGAATCTGGAAAACGTGTCTGCATATTTGCATTTTGAACTTTTACAGATGATGTGAAAGTGCAGCTCATTTGTCACTCTTTGGAAGAAGTATCTTTGTTCAATTTTCAAAAATTATTATTATTATTATTGCTATTATTATTATTATTATTATTATTATTATTATTAATTCCAGTAATGACACCTTTGTTATGTTCTGTCTGTCTGGTTTGGTCTTATTACCATTTGCTTAGTTCACAGCAAATCAGAACAACATTATATACATTAATGTAGGTACATAATGACCAAGAGAATCAACTGTATGAGTGCTTTCATATGAACTGTTGTGCTGGAGACTGTAGGACATATAGGAAGGAGCATGGGCGAGTGTCTGTGGCTATCCTRTTAAGGCTGTCTATGCTTCATTTACCCTGTGTCAGGAATTTGAAAGAGGCAGCCCACATTCCCATTGCTTTGGGTCTTTCTTCTATCTTCTAGATGAAGACAGCTGAATTTCATGTTGTCTCTTGCATATTTTCTGCAGTCTTTATGTGAAAGCTTCTGTACTTCATTAGAAAATCATTGCAGTAATCTTTTTAAAACTCTGGATTTAGTTTTCATTGTGGGCCAAAAATAACAAGAAACTTAAGATCCCCAGTCTTTGAAGTAACTGGAGTGGATCATGCAAGTGTTAAATTTTTACTGAATGTAATAGTGGTTCATAAGCCTTTGCAGCAATCAGGTCTTAATCTAATTCTTAGATTATAGAAAAATTGGAGTGTGCTTATGCCAAACCTGTYTCACTTGTTTTTCTGAATCCAGTAATAGGTATCTCTTGGTCTGAAGGTAAGTTAACAAAAAAAAGATAAGTCAAGCAAACTATGCAGATAGCAAAGAGACTAATAATGGGGTTTACTTAATACAGCACTCTCAGTGGGAATGAGCAGTCATCTGCTGAGAATCAAAACACCTCATCAATCAGATGGATGTTGGCATGCGGCAAACACAGTACTGTTAGCCTGTGATTAATTTTCATCTGTTTAATAAAACAGCTATTCCTTGGCTGATTGCATGGCTTTGCTGGAACTTCTGTATTTTCCAGGTTTAAATGATACTGTTATGAGACCAAGTTAGCATGTTATCCTGCCTGCAATACTGTTTCACTGAACCCACTAGAGGTCAGGGCTGTACTGCTAAGGTAAATAGTTAAAATCGGCTAGAAAGACATCTCTTAAAATGTTGCCAGAAGTGAAAATTTTGCCAGGGACTTCTAAATGGTGCAAATTTAGAATATGGTACATAATGGAATATGTTACATATTGGRAAAATCTGATAATGTTTATTTTTATCATTCTTTCAGAGGGTGAGACCTCCCTCCTTCCCTAAWTTTTTTTTAAAAATCAATAATTCAAAATTTCAAATTTGCAGTTGTGTCTTTATCCAGAATAATTAAGATTATTTCCATGATAATTGGCTTAATTATTCTCTTGAAATCTCACACTTAGAGAATTTGATTGAATTTGAACGGAAGTCGTTGTTATGTTTCTGAGCAGGTCTGATACCAATATTTGCAGGAGAATACAATATGATGAATTTGTACATTTTTTAATACTCCCTAGCGAAGGAAATTCTTTTGACTATATCCTGGGATTTGTTTTCAACTTGTCTTAGTGAACCAAAATATGGACTCTTCTAAATTTTTCACRATATTGTAAGGTGGTGCAGAACAAACTTGCCTACCTCTGTCAGCAGGAAGAGTGATATATATTGTGATTGTTTGTTAACTGTAGACTTAATTGAACTTTTTCTGTAGCACATTGACAGTCCAGGATAATTTAATTGGCTTTTTTTTTTTTTTTTTTTTTTTTTTTTTTTTTTTTTTTTCACGAGGCCTGGCTGAGCCACCCCATATCTTAATATGAACAAACTGTGGTTTTGAAGCCTCAGCTGATTAAGCCTTTTGACTCCCACATTTTATTTTTCCCATGATGCTGTCTTTCAGGACACCCAGTTTAAGAAGAGTTGCTTGTTCAGTGCATGTCTATCCTACTACTTATTCCAAAAATAGTATAATGGGTTGCTGCTATGTACTAGTCATATGTAGATGGTGTAGTTGGTAGCCTCAGCAATATCATAAACCTTCATGCATGTCAGAAGCTTCCTGAAACGAATTTGGTTACCCAGTATTAAGCAAAAGTTGGGGTAAACAAAGTGAAGAGTGAAGAATGATAATTTTTTCTCCATTGGGATGGGCTGGTGGCTTGTGATAGTCTCAGGCTGGATATCCAGAGCCATTTCTCCACAGAGACCTTTAAAGGTGGCACCCCATATGGGAAAAATCTTCATCCATTGCTGATCATCCCACTAGTGGGATGGAGTAGTATTGCCAATAAAGGCAATGCATAGCAGGCTTGGACCCTCCTTATAGAAATTGGCCTTGGCAAGGAATTCTGGCCTCGGTAGCACTTCTGCTGCATTGCTTAGTCCCAGGAAAAGGTGTGGGATTGTAAATCATGGATCCTTTGCTGACTAACAGTTTTGTTGTCACCAATGAGGAAGGCAAGCCTGAGAAAGCACGCAAAGCTGTCTGATACAGATATAAGAAATAAAAAACCAAAGCACTTGGAGCCTTGGGAATATGAGCATCCAGAGGCAGCATTTGGAGACACAGTTTATTCAGCAACTGCCCATGTGAGAGCATCTGTGAGTCTGAATTTATTTGCTGCATGTGAGCTACAGGACATGCAGAGAGGTGTATGGACTACTTCAAGCTCTGGGAGAAGGATCTTTTGCATGAGTCTCTGTCAGTAACTGGCTTCTGACTCTGTTTTGGAAGGTMGTTTACCAGCCTGCATGCACACCATGCTATATCAGCTTGCTGAAGGGGCAGAGCAAGCACTTTTGGTATGCTCACTTTTCTAGTGGAAACACATTGTAGTTATATTAGGCAGAGATAAATACCTATAGATATTTCATGAGTGCCAACATGCTGATTGGGAAATCATATATACTGCACTGTTGAAATTGTTGTAAACAGCAGTGTTGCTAATCGTAACATATCCCAGCTTTCTATGCAGAGGGATCATTGCACAGGGATTCCTTTGTAGGTAATGCCATAGTAACAAAACTAAAGTAACATCAGTCCTTGCTCTCAAAAGATCATCAAAGATTAGATCCACATTTATCAGTCCTTTCTCTGGAGTTTTTCCTCACTGTCTTCCATGTTCTTTTTCCCTATCTGGTTTGAAGAACCTTTTCTTAAAAGTGAAAAATGGCCCAATTTGAATGGAACTAACAAAAATAACTCCCATTTTCTCCATTCTTCCCTCATGCTGCCTTATGCTAGAAACATTCRTTTTTCTGAATATCCTAGAGCTGTGGGGAAGGGATTCCCTGGGACAGCAGGAGCAGTATCTCTAATCATCCTATAAAGGAGTGGAATTAAATGGCCATCATACAGATCTTTGCTAATCACTTTAAACATTGTGCAATGATGGAAAGAAGGACGCTTCAATGTCCCTTATGGAGAGATTGATACACTGCATGTGCTCTGAACATGCCTCAAGAATTGAGCTCTTAAGGCAATAGGCCCAGGGGGAGCACTTTACCTGGTTTATTATGCATGAAATAAGTGCTGAGTTTTCAGAGCTGTCAAGCTGTCAGGAGTGCATTTCTTCTGACAAGTCTCAGGTGCAGCATTCTAGGGATCAGGTATGCTCTGTGGCAGCTGCGGAGTTTCTGTACAGATGGAACAGATGCCAAATGGAGATGCTGACCTACACTTACAGTTAACACACCTGAAATGRCAGTTAGGACTCCTCTGTGGTGAGACTTCTAAAGGAATTCTGGATTAAGTGATTTAATACTAGTTTTAACTGTAGTAAAATTAATAACTGATGAATTAAATAGTTGAAAGCAGGGCCCCCTTCATTTTTTCCTCTCAAGCCCAGGAAAAATGCCATTGTGTTATAATTATCTTTGTGTGCCTCAAAATTTAAAATTTTTCAATATGCCTCTCTTTTTTTGTCAATTTAGTGTTCAGTATAAATAATAGTCTTTTTTTATGAATAAGTAGTTCCAAAAAGAAGTCAGATTAAATATAGCTAAACTGACAGATCATGGGAAAAATCACATGGTGAGAAGGCCAAGTGTCCTTGTGATGTAACTTTGTCTTATATATCTGGTCATAATTTTGTTTTAAAATTGGTTCTTTCCAGCTGTTGGCAGCCTTTGATTTTCAGCTTTATGAGCCTCAAGTGTGTCTGTTAAGAAGAACATTGACTCAGAGCCATTTTCTTTTTGTTACTTTTCAGATAGAGTCACTTTATCTCCTTTTTATGTAGAGAATCCAGAAAGTTCTCCAATGAGAATTTGCTTCCTTTTTGCTTTGGCTTTTTATTTACTTTCTTTCATTATTTTTACTTGTTTACATATACTGTAAATGATAAATAAATCCCAAACTTTGAACTGATACTGAAATCTAAAGTATTTAAGCTTCTCTTACATGAATTTATTCCATATGGTACTGAAAACTTGGCTTGTAATTTCTGTTTATGTGTTAAAATAAATGTCATATCAAAACTAACATCTACTCCTTGTGATTTTTTTGTCTATGGATTTCATTTCAGTCCTGGAAAAAAGTGTAGGAAGGTAGGCTTAGTGAAGAGACTGTGGCTTTAAAACAAGAATAGTGCACCTTTCACTAACCTGGGTCACTCCACAATCTGAGGTCTCCTTTGTTTTGTCTTTGTTTTGTTTTGCTAGAAGTGTTAATACTATGCCCAGGACAAGCTGCCTTGGAAATAACATACTTTTCGGCTTTGCAGGTCACACATGTTTGCATCTTCTCAAGTCAATGGTGCTTTTATTATTGTCTTGATGCCTGATGATTTTTGCTTTTCCTTTTTACGCTTTCTGTACCCTCTATGCATTCCTCTGTACCTGTTAGCCCACATGTTTGTAGCCTGATATTCCAGCTTAGTTTAGGAGTTCTGCTGGGCAGAGAGACCAAATATCCTCAGGACGGAGTCAGTGTGCCCTATGCTATCTTAAATCTGAGGCTCCAGCCTTGGGTGAAGCCTTCTGTCTGGAACATCTTGTGTAAACTGGGTTCTGGCCTTATCAGTGAGGCGGGGCGGGGATTCATTAGAATAGGGGGACATTACTGCATGTGTTAAGTTTCTTATTGGGGAATCCTAGATAGATATGCTAATTACCAAAATCTATAAAACTTGTATCCATGCTGTACACGGGGGTGCATTCTGCGATCAAGTTGTACACCTGGGTTCCCAAATACTGAGGTAAAACCCTTTTTATCCCCTTAACCATGTCTGTGTCATTATTAAAAACTGGCCATTCAAGGCAACAGTCTAAACTCTTGGTGTGTCAAGGGCTATTTTTTTGTGTTTCTGGTATTTTGTATTAACACCATGTTTGGTATGGAAAATAAAGTATGTCATGGCTTCTGGTGTGTGTCAGGGCAAGGAAAGGACATTTCTTACTTTGGACTTGTCATTCTACAGCTGTGGAAAAGTGGATTTGATACTTGAGGACATCCCGTTTATTTCTATACATTTGTAATCTCTAAAGAACTACAGACAAGCTATATTATATCTGGTTTAAATTCCTATAGATATTTGCAGGTATCATTCAAGTATTTGTATGTTTGGGAACCCAAGTTGGGAACCATGCCCAGACTACAGTCACCTAAGCTTCTGCGTCTCAAGAGAAGTTTCCACATTCCTGTGAGGTGCCTCAGATGCTGATATAGTAAAGAGATCAAAACAGGGAACAGAGTTCCTCTTTCAGTTGCATTAATTCAACTCAACACTCTTAAAAGATTATTCAGCTTGTGAAAAACAAGATTCATTTTCTTGTTAAAATTTAAAGGGTTTTAATAAATGACAATAGGGTACATAAAAGCACAAGGATATGCCGGGTGCTTGGCGATCTGGCAGAGGCATGCCTGCTATTGACAGGAGACATCTTTAAATACATTTCATATTGCATCAGCCTAATGCCTATTCATAGACATTTATGCATATTCAAACTTTTTCAGGAACTGTTTAACATGGATCTGCCTTTTTAGAGCATGAGCAGTGATGGTATTTCTGCCCCTGGGGTCGTGTGCGTGTGACCCCTGTTCTGTAGTTTCAGCAGATGGTCCTTGTTGATAGAGAAGTGTCCTGTAGCAGGGGCCCCTAATGGGTCACGACACCCCTGGCCTGTCCATTGCAGATATGGTCGTCTGAAGGTTGAGGGGTCCCATCTGCCAGATTCCTTTTGCCACAAACAATGGATGTTTTTACAAGTTCTTCCAACCAGATATTTTTCTAATATGCATACTAAAGCAACTATGACGGCATTCTTCTAGTAGGTCAGTGTTGATAACCTTGGGGAAGGTGATCCTTTTCTCATGCATTCCTTTCTCCTTTTCTTATCTTTTGGTCGATGTAATTGCAGCCAGGGCACCATTCATAATCTAAAAAAGTCTCCCTGTAGCTTCTTGTATAGTTTTGCTATAATGTGAAAAAAAAAAAATCTACATGGAAAAGTTTAAATCACAATCATGTTTACATAACTAAACTTCTTCTACAAGTAARACAACATAATATCATGATGCACAACACATAGCATCTATCTTTAATCTCTGCGAGAACCAACACTACAATATGTGTTTATCACACACATAGCACTCATCTTAATATTTGCRAAAGCCAACACTATAATATGTGTTTATAACAGCTGATCACCTGTAGGTATCTCTTTTAGAAAAGACTGGGTCACTGTATGAGCTCAGTGGATTATATGGGTGGGAAGAAGAATTTGCTTCCTGTTCATGTGGGTTTAATGTCCTTTTTGGTGGTAAGGGTACATTCCAGGAATTCAGCTGCTCCACATTGTTTCCTGCAAATCCTGTGACATAGCTGTCAGCTCTGTGTGGGTGTTTTGGATTGTCTGTGATACTGGAAGTCTCTAAGGTTGCTGAAGTCCAGTCTAGCTCTGGTGACATCAAAATGTCATCTTCAAAGTCTGACAATGATTCAAGCCTTTGTCGTTTACTGTTCTGCTAATTATGTCTCTGTTAATCTACCTAAGATTTTTGTCTTATGCTCAAAATGTTGGACACTGGTCCTGATGTTTTAAATTTT